ATCAAACTCTTCAATTCATTCCACAAGTGGTTCTTCTACATTTAATATAAATGCTTTGCCTCTCAACACAAAAGTATGTGAATTGTTGTACCATTAAATATTCGATTTATGGCACATTTCGTAAGAATTTTCAGTGCTTGCCCACGTCAAGTCACTGGTGCACATTTGAACAGTAAACTTTTTGGGGTGTTGATTACTTAACTCCTTTATTTTTATAGTGGTTAGAACAACAGAGTCTGATATTTGTTTAGCCCTTTAGCCCTATCATAAGCAGCAATGAAAACCCAGCTGGATATGCACTCGCGTGGACGCACCTCTGATAGCATTTCATATTGGCCTCTTCGTCCCAGGGCTATCGTGAGCAGATCATAGACTACAGATGCACTTTGCAAACTGATGATCCGATCATTTTTGTGTTCTGGTATTCTGCTCAGGACAGCATCACGGTTAGCCTGAAACATAATGCCAAGAAGAAGCCATGTCAGCCACTGCAATCTATATTTTTGGTCAAGCAAAATTTATAAATTTTTATAGACACTAGAATTAATTGGCATCTATAGATTCTAATTCAGAGAAAGCATGAATCTACACTAATTTAATGCATTAGCTCAAAGAGTTAGGCTTCTATATTTATCTATTTTAATCACTTGATTATACGTAATTATATAAACTAGGCAATTTACGTAAAATTACAGAAGAGTTTTCAGAAACCAAAAGAAGTTTGCTTTAGTATAATGAATAGTTAGTTCCTCTTTTATAATTCAAACCTATTTTTTGTATGCAAATATAAAACTAATTGGAAGAATATTCCAATTTTCTATTACAGCTTTATTAATAAGGCATTCACTTTCTTTGTTCTTTTCAAGATTGTGACTGTGTGCCCTGCCCAGGACAACCACACGATCGCTCTTCAGGAATCATCACTGAGAGGGAACTGGCACAAAAGTTTGCCTTAGTCAAGAGCACAGGCTTGGACCAGCTTTGCAGCAGACTTCGTACTTGCATGTCCTTTAGGAGCTGGCACATTGCAAGCGTAATTCCTAATTAAATTTGTCCTTTTGAGCACAGAGGACACTGAAGATTAAATAAACTACATTCAGTGAGGAATCCTGTTTAATAGCAGAGATCTTCCAGCACCTTTGACCACCTACATCACCCAGTACTACATACACTATACCACCAGCCCTCCGAAACACCTTATCTTGGTTATCTTCTGCCTTTACAGATTTCCTCCTATATGAAATACCTATTGATACAAATGTTTGTCTATCTGGTAGCTTGATGTCAGAACTAAAGTTTCATATATCTATATAGATATATAGACATATATCGATAGCTTTCAATAATTATTTCTAATGGATTTAAGGGCATAATGGTTTATGGTGACAAACATTTTATGTATCTAGACAGGTCTAATTCACAAAGAAAATTTACAAGTTACCAGAAAGCAGACTTAAAAGGGTAATACTTTATTTGTTTGCTGACTTCTTAGTGCTGATACGCAAGGAAGCACATATGCAAATAGAGTGATGAGCAGTCTGAGGTTATGCAGATCAGGGACAGCTTCCACTTTCATATCATGAATACGGTTCCCACCAGGATTCTGCTCCTGCCACAACCTGCTCGGCACCTTACAGGAGCTCAGAGGGTCCCTCCCAGTGGTAAGGGCACAGGGCAACAAAAGCAGCACGTGGTATGTGGAAGCGATCGCTCAGTCTAGCTCTCTGGGGGCGGATGCCATCACGAGCACCACTTCAAGACAGACCATTAGAAATGAAGTAGCTTGTACTAGAGTGTAAATGTTTAAAGTAGTTCAAGTAAGAGACTGATCACTAAACTGTTCTCATCTTACTTTTAGCTGTATCGCAACAGAAATTACGCCGAAGAGTTTCAATCATCTGTATAAAAAGACCACATCTCCTTGATGTTCAGCGAGACAGACTGTTAAATGATTTCTGAGACTGTACTGATTCCATCCTCCAGTTTGAAAGCTGGCAAAAATTTCACCTTAAACTTTCCATCTTTGTCATTTGAGAATATATAACTGACCTTGCATAAGAATGTCAGAACATGGCAGTTGATGGATGATTAATAAAACTGTGCTAGAGGAAAAATACAGAACCCTGATAAAACAGCACAAGCGAGCAACTGAACTGTCTATTGAGAAAATCAGGAGATTAAAAATTACAGCAGCAAAGGCTGCTGTAAACCCTGTACAACTAGAAGTTATTTAAAAATTTGAGTGACATCTGAATTTCAATGCACAATGACAAACAATTTTCGGTGACATATATCTTCAGTGTGGTCCTGCAGGAGTCTTTGTTTTTGGAGTATATAATAAAATCAACCTATATTTTGAGTCTGTCTGCTGAATGGCAACAGATGGTGTAACATTGGGTCATACTGATAAGTGATGCCAAGTGAAAAACCTGGTTTTAGGTTCACTTGGCTAAGGCTAGAAGAAAACTAGGTTCGGCTCAGAGCCAATATACACTGACTTTAAAGGAGAAAGAAACTCCCATTCCTAACGCTTTCAGGGCTCTTCCTGCTGGCTCGGAGGAGCAGAAGGTTGAGTTTCAGAAGTAACTGCCTGCTTTCCTAACAGGAAATGAAAGGTAGTAAATAAGTCAAAAATCAATAAGACACAGAAAAAACAAACAAACACACACCACTGTTTGCTATAAAAATAAAGCATTTACTCAATTTACATACCATAGATTCACTAATAAGCAGCAAGAGTAAGGCTTCTTCTGTATTTTCTTGAGGACAGAAGATGCTATTCAAAAGAAAAAATCATTTATTAAGGCTAAACATATTACCTTACACAAATATAGTAAAAATTGGAAGATTTCCAGAAAAAAAGAATAGAGAACAAGTTACATTTGTATAAATACCAATCAGTGAAAATTAATTTCTTTGCAATGATCCAAGCTCACATTTAAAAAAAAAAAGCATGGTAAAACTAAGTGAATAAAACCATCACAGTTGTCAGAGATGAAGAAAACACCCAAATGACCCCAAAAGTTACACAATTTGACATCTTTTAAATATATATCCTTATCTTAGTAAGTCTCTGGCACCTAACTGTATCCAAGATGCATCTACATCATTGACTCAAAGGTTGGGAGCAAGATAACCTCACAAAAGCAAGATAACTTTTGCATTTTAGGCAATATTTGGATAAATCCTTTTATTACCTTTCCGCCGGGTACATTTGAGAATTGTTTTGCTGTTGTCTTCACTACCTGAGAAGTTTTAAAACAGAGCCACAGCAGCCTCTGCCTACTTGCCATTAGCAACCCCAGCTATTTCCAAGCAGTTAAAATACTCATTTCCATTGAAACACACATTCCTTCTGACTTAATGCCAAAGCTTCCCATAGGACTAGGCTGTGGACTTAACCACCTTTGTGAAGACTAGATGCCTTCTCTCTACACACTACTGCAGCACGTACATGGACCAGCGCAAGCGACCACATTCTTCTCCACATTCTTCTCTCTCAACGGTTTCTGAATCAGGCTAAGTAATATTTCGTCTTCATTCAGATTAATGGTTCCACAGTCAACTGCTTAATAAACATGGTAAATGGCCCCTTGCTGTTAATAAGCAATTCCTATAGTCCCAAGGGATGTGCCTGAACTACAATAAACAAATTACTGATAGGAAAGTAAGCATGAAAAAAAAAAGTTTTGTTTAATGGATTGAAAACTCAAAAACCTGGGTAGTATTGAAATCTCTGAAAATAAATGGAAAATGAAATGCTTTAAATCTGCAGGGTGCCTGAAAGTAAGATTGGGAAAGTATTCTGGTAATACAGAGCAAGGAGGACACCAGGGATAGCATCCCTAAAGATTTGAGGAGGAAGGCAGCCAGTTGTTTTTAACCAATGCAAGTTGCTCACCTGGTTTTGAAGGAGCTTTTAAATCTCAGAAGACTTATTTTATCTTTTATATAACAAAGAAATTTCAAAACACCATTGCTCACAAATAAGAAGGATGCAGGACAGGAGATGAGGAATGGAAAGGAAGCATCAGAGGCAGCTTGGGCTCCCCATTTACCTATTCAGTCTTCAAAGCAGCATAAAGCACCTGGGAAGTGGATTTAGCCAAGAATAACTTGATGCCCATCTCAAACACTGCAGAACTCTTAGTGCAGAAATTAGGATAAAAATACTTTAAGTCATGTTTGCAAAGGCTTCATTTTGATGACCAAATTGAGCCTTTTCTTGCACAAACCAACTGACAGAGGCACAGAAGTTAGGCAGTCCCCAGGAAACATGGCAGAGCAACAGGGATGGCCAGAAACACGAAATACCCAAAGGCAGAGCAAGAGCTTTCACACAGCTTCAAGTGGGAATAAAGAAAGCTGAAGAGGCAATAACACAGATTTGTAATATTGTAAGTGGCATTAGTCATACTCTATTCCTACCTTAAAGGAGCTGACATGCACTTAATTATCATCTCAGGCAGCACATTTAAAACCAACCAGTATTTCTGATTCACACAGTTGGACAGTAGGCAAGTACCTAGAGTAAAATCTCCTACCAGTCTGTCCTGGTACACTCTCTCTTGGGTATTTCCCTTTGACCACTGCTGGAGATGAGCTATCAGGCATGACATATCCTGTCTGATCTGGTCTCTTTGCTCCCTCTGATGCGAGCAAAGGAAGCATGTCCGACTCGCACGCTGTGCTGGCACTGTGAGAATCCTTGCTTACACGAGCCAAGAGCAGCCAAACTCTACTGAACAAAGTTCTGCTTCTGCAAAGATGCATGTTTCTACTAAAAGATGAATGGAGAATGAAAGAAAAGAACATAGATAAGATTGAAAGACCAAGCCTGAGAAACCTGCTACACATATTCTGGGTAAGGAAGGAGAATTGCTAGCATAGATGAAGGCCATTCTACTTGCTAGCAATAATTATACCACAATTATGTGGACTTTCTGTTGTATAAAATAATCATTAATGGAGATCTTCAACAAACACAGCTAAGTCATCTCAAAAGACTCAAGTCTCCTGCAGGATATATACTTTAGTAGTTTCTCTGAAAGGCTCTTTCATAGCACAGCCTTGTTATGTGCAAAAGAGGGAGCTTCTATAACATCTTCTATAGGACTAGAGGAAATGGCCACAAACTGAAACACCAAAAGTTCTACAGGAACTTAAGGAAAAATTTCTTGACAGTGAGGGTGACAGAGCACTGGAACAGGCTGCCCAGAGAGGTTGTGGAGTCTCCTTCTCTGGAGATCTTCAAAACCCGCTTGGACGCAGTCCTGTGCCACGTGCTCTAGGTGACCCTGCGTGGGCAGGGGGGTTGGACTAGATGATCTCTAGAGGTCCCTTCCAACATTAAGGATTCTATGATTCTATCTACCTTAAATTCTGAAGAGATGTTGGTTTTGTTTTAGGATTCATGATATCTTTATATTGTCTCCTAAAATACTGTCAGAAAGGAACAGACTGTTCTTTAGGATTTGCTGTGTGAGCCCAGGTTGTTTTTTGGATGTTTACGACCCAGCATAAAAGATATTCCTATGTACGTTTCCTCAGTCAGAATATCAGGGAAAAAAAAAGGTTTAAAATTGCAGACACAAGATGTTGCAGAAGAAAAACAAAGTTAATGTTCATCTTTTCTTCTGTTCCGTTCTTTTTCTGTTTCGTGTTGTGAGATGCTGCTGTCCAAGTTGGGTAGGCAATTTCCATTCAGCATAAAGCTTATCAGTAACACTGACATAGACAACATAGTCTGACACCATATCAGTGTTCAACTGATTTTTTTTTCTTCTTTTAAAATCAAAAGATGTCTGAAAAATTTCTTAGGCTCTTGAAGGAAAAGCTGTAGGCACAAAGCAACATGGTCTTCATTTGTCTTATGAAGAAACATGTACGACAAATGAACTGTTCCTTATCTGTGTCTATATTCCAAATTTGTTCCAAATCATATTAACTCTCAAGTTTAAGATGACTGTATTTAAGAAACCTCTTCATGGAGAAGCCTATCTTTCACTCTTACAGATTAAAATCGCCATTGGGCAAATTTCATCTCCAAATTTAACTGCAAACAGCATATCATAACTGACAAAGAAAGCGTTTGGGCACTACTTGCCTACTTTTAAGGGCAGTGATCAAGGTGTTTCCAACAACTTATGTATTTGTTTTACCAAAAAGTTTGACTGTGGGTACAATTTTTTAATTATATACCTGTAGTGAAACACAGTTTTCTTTTGCTTTTGCAAAATGAATGTTCAATTCTAAACCTGAAACTTCTTTTTTAATAAAGAGGATGGTTCAGAATGGTTTAGATTTCATTTCCATGATTTGAAATGATCACGTGATTTTCACGCAATAAGACACATCCAAGCACGTTCTTTAGGGACTCTCAGAAGTGTGAGAAGTGAATGTGTTATGAATGAACAAGTAGTTAATACACTTTCAGAGAAAATTAGTATTTCAAAAACAAATGGCTATTCATGTTTAATGCCAATACTGGCAGTGCTTAGTTTTGAAAAAACAAAACAAATAAACAACAACAACAAAAAAGCCACACATTTTCAGGAGGGAAAGGACACCCTAAAGCTGTGTGAGAATTAACCTTAGGATACCACTTAAGCGAATAACTGAAAAAAAGCCTCAACAAAAAGGTGACATCAGAAAGAAATGCCAAGACTAGCTTAAAAAGATCAGCAGGCAAGTGTTTTGGGAAATAAACTTCCTCTGAAATTACTAGATAAACTGCTAAGTATGCTTTTCATTGTTTCAGTAATAAATTTAAATCCCCATATCGCTAACTCTCCTTTCTATGACAAAGCAGAACACGGATTGCCAAAATTGCAGAAGACGAAGAACACAGTGCTTCCCAAAGAACCGAGAACAGTTCTGCTTTTCCTCCTCTTCAGAAGGACGCACTGCAATTTTATGAATTCAAAATATTCAGTCAGAAGTGGTGGAAATGGCTGGACTGCTCCAGGAAGCAGAAAGACACTGCCATGTGCACTAGGACTTCTTGTGCACCTGAGGTGTAAGGAGAACTATTGACTTTAGCACATGCTCCAGTACAGGCCAAGAGCATGTTCTAGGAAGTGAGGACAAAAATCTCAGGCACGGAGTGCAAACTTGTCTTTGGAAAAGCAGCTCTCTTCCTTCAACATTACGCACAGCAGGGAAAGACCTTCACATGTCCCAAGGCCTTCTTCATTTTCAACAATAGGAACTCAACTGCATGGTGCACTGAACAATAATTGCAATCTTTGAAACAAAAGAGATAGAAAGTCAGGCATACTTTTCTCCAGTGTATACTCGTGGTCTTCTACTGAGTGCATAATTCTTTGTATTTGAACCTTTTCGAAGTGGGTCATCTAGGGGCGACTGGTGAGGAGGGTCTTCCAGGGGATTCCAGTAACTCTGTTCACACATGCCTCGTAACAAAATTTCCGCTAATTGCCTTGCTATTGTCTGTAAAAGGGAGAGAGAAATATTTTCCCTAGAAAATGAATAGTCTCACAAAAACAAGAGGATAATTTCAAATAAAGACTAGCAGTCTTGAATATGTTTTCTGTTAGAAACATCCATTTGATGTTTCTGTTCAAACACTCTCTGAAACATCCAAAATACCAGGCAAACTAGTTTTTGTAAAGCACAAGTATCAACTTTGATTCTCTAAACACAATGGAAAAATAGCACCAACAAACAGCTCAGTGACTTTATCCGATTAAGTCCAGACATATAACTGCATCTCTCAGCTTAATCTGTTTTGTAATGTGTTATACATACGCACATAAGCTATGCTATATGGCAATCCTAAAAAAAATCAAAATTTAGTGCCTTAGAAATGGTACAGCGTAATAGAATGAGAGTAGGTTCTGCATTTCTACTAAAGATTTCAGTATTTCCAAGAAACATATCAATAATGTAAGCCATAGGCAGTACCGTATAAGATGCATATTCTATCTCTAATTTCTATACCATAAGAAGCCTTTAATCTTGTATTGTATTAATTATTGTAATATTATTGTTTTCCATTAAAAGTCTACCATTTGAAATAATTTTAACATGTTTGTTAAAAATCAGTTATTACATGAATTAAGAAATTAATCGCCATTCTTATTACTACTTTGTAAGTTTTAAAAGTCTCGTATTAATATATTCATTTCAGACATTCTAAAAATTAAATTTTCAGGAAAAGTCTTAGCCCTTTATATCAAAGATCCATCGCTTCTTTGGTAAAGGCTTCCTTTATGATCATATAAATAACAAGTCTTCACGATTTTTTCGCGTAAGAGGCTTTATCAAGAGAGAAAAAACAAACACACACACAAAAAGACTAGGTAGCTTTCTATTTAACAGAACACAAAGAGATGCTTCTTTCTACTCTCATTACATTACAGAAAGATGAAACGCTCTTGTGAAACTCTGGTAAGTCCTAAACAGGACAATGTGATTACTCTTGTAGATATGGTTAGAGATAATTAGTTTTTAACTATAATGACAAATAAGAAAGAAATTGAGGAAGGATACTTATCAAACATTCCTTTTTCTGTGAATCATTTGCTATAATCATAAAACATGGTATTTCAAATTGGGGAAATAACAGATCCCAATCAATATGCTGTAACGTGATTATTTGTCACTCATCTATCATAATTATACTATATCTGCCTAATAAAATTCTATGTTGAAATAGGAATATGGTTTAGTAGAACTTACCATTCGCAGATTTTGTGTAGTTCTCGTTTCAACAGCTCTTAGTATCTCTCTAAATCTACCAACTCCTCTTGTCAAGTTCCTGTACATAAACACAAAATTTGACAGTATTGCAACTAGGATATAGTAGCATTTTAATATACAACTAGATAATCTCACTAAATTTCCTGTCATCAATTTTTTTTCCCTGCATACTATCTCCCTGTTGTGAAATACCTGGAAACCCAACCACTGTTTACTGTTGCAAGCCCCAATCTAATTGAACAAAGATAAACATTTTCAAAAGATAGGTAGCTCAAAAGAAAGAAAGGAAACTGAAATAGTACCTGTATAAAGTGGCACTCCCATACAGAAAAAAAACAAAATTGAAGATGGTTTGGCTCCTACAATAATTTGAATTTTCAATACTAATCTTGAACCCACAAACTATGAAAAATACATTTGATTTTATCTGCCTCTTGATATCTTAGAAGAGGGAAATGAGAAATGGATTTTTCAATGCTCAATGTGAAAAATATAAAACCTTTAACTCTTTAGCACAAAGAAAGTACAGGAGAGGGGGAGTGGAGCAGCAGGCAAGCGCCAGGTTAGAACAGAGGACTGGGCGCCCGGCGCCTCCCTGCCTGCTCGGTGTTCTCTGGGGGCACTTCCCCTCTCCGGGCTCCATCAATATTTCTTTCACATCTCTTGCTTTAAGAGTTTTTGCAAAGAGATGCCAGATCCACAGAGAAGAGCCACCAGATTCATAGTAGCAAAAAATGATTTAGGAGATTGGAATCTTCTCCTGAAACAGAAACGTTTTTTGACTCAAGCCAACTCTCCTGGCAGCTTCGTTTTTCCTGATGACTGCACCAAATCTCAAGCTATCTTCTTTTTTTTTTATTCTATTAAATGTGTGTGTGGTGGTGGGGAGGGGGGCTGTTAAGACCATTTTTCTTCTATATTAATATATTTTTAACTTTGAATTGGTGAAAAAAGGGGTTGGTATTTGCTGTCCTGAATGGCTGGATTCTGCAACCGCAACATGTACCATGTGACAGTCACCTCCTTCGTCCATGCGATTTGGTTTCCAGACAGGCAGCGACTCGATCGAAAAAGGATTTTGTGTTAAGTCAGTACTGTTGTGTCATACAGTCACAAGTGATTCCGAGGCTAAGCTGCATAACACTTGCATAACATGGGGTCAAAAGAGAAAAAGATACTATGTCTCATGTCAGCTTTTCTCAGTAAAAGCATCATTGCACCACCCTGCAGAGGTGATACTGAAAATACTCTTCAGAATAATGAGAATTTTGAGTATATTTACAGAGGAAAGTGGCAATTTGTACAGAAAAAAAAAATTCAACTCTTTTTTGCAGGAATTCTTTAAGTCAGCCTAAAGAAACCAGAACACTTGATATGAAAAGAAATATGGCTAACTTTAAAAATTTTAGCAGTTGATCTGGAAGCTTGAGTCATTTATTTTAACTTTCAGATCACATGACAAAGATCACGTAAGTTGTCTTTTATATGCAAAAAGATGATCAGTGTTTTAGAGCTTTCAGCTTCCAGCACAGACAGACATTTTTCATATTATACGTTTACCTTTTAAAATCTTTACCTAACAGCTCATTTCTAAAGAAGTATCATTTCCAAAAAAAAACATCAAAACATAAAAACTATTCAATATGACCCCAAAATTGATTAATAAGAAATAATCATTAGTCACACAAGAAAAACAAATGATTGTCTGTACAACTCCATGTGTTGCAGCAGTCCTTGAGTGATGAAACAAAACATCAATTACTTAAAAGCTTTCAGTTAGCAACTTCCTAAGAAGAATAATGTTGTGCACAAAGGTAACAAGGAAATAAGGGCGTCAAAGATGTTATTTATTTCATAAAAGGCTCTCAATAGCTGACACATCCCGCCCAATTTCATAGACTAATAAATTAGACACTGAATATTAGTGGGTTTAATTTTCCAATAAACTAAACTCAGTGCAAGCTGGGTACATTCAGCACCTTTGGAGAGCCAAAGCATACACCTTTTTACTAATATCTGTGATATCACACAACAAATGTGTAAAAGTCATGAGATCACTGGAATCCCTCTGTTCTAAGTGTGCTGATATACTTCTCTTTAATGGAGCTATCACTCAAGGACAGAATTTCAAATTCACAGGCGCATCCTCATAACAAGAAAAAAAAAAAAAGAAAAGGCAGGCCAAGAAAATGGAGCGTTCTCTGAAAAAATATCAGAAAGTAAAAAGAGTAGAGGGAAAGAACCTGTCAACTCAAAAGACTAATTTGCTACTACAGATGAAATATATGCATTGTAGAACTTCAAATCACAGTAATTTAAAACCTCAAAAAAGAATGACGTAACAATTCTTTCCATGCAAATTTCATGCCTTCTCAAGTGTTACAAGAACAACAAAACACACTATGAAAAGGTACATGACTTAAAAGTCCTTAAGAATATCACATTACTCAGTTACCCATTACATTTTGGTAAGCACCTAGAAGGGACTACAATTTGTGACTGAAGTTCTACCATCTCATGGAAAAAAAGCAGTAAGATCACACAGGAAAACAATTAAAAAATACGGAATTAGGTTTTGCTTCATAAAGCATTTAACGCTGATCCACTGCACAAGTGAATGAAAACAAGTACAAGAAGATGTTCAGCATCTTCTACACAAAATGTGCTAAAAATACACTGCAAAGCTACAAACTAGATCACCCAAGAGTTGAGTTAAATGCTTTGAGAGAAAAACAATGAAGCAAAATATACCATGAACAGCATGGTACATCTCCACACTACACTATTTTCATCAAAGTACATTTCCTGTATTTGTTAACAGTTTTAAATATTTGGAAGAACGGGGTGGAGGCTATTCCAGCACGTACCTCCCGTGCCCGGGGGGCCCATGGCCTTGGCCTGCGCTTCACCACGCTAGGGCTTCGCGGCAGCCCCTCCACCCCTGCTCACTGAATCCCAGAGCAAAAGGGGAGTTTGACATAGAAAACAACATTGCACAGTGTCTGTAAATGATTTTGAGATCCTTTCAAAATTTGGAGAGAAAAATAAAATAAGGATATGTCAACATGCATGCAGAACTGACAGACTTTCAGTGATTTTGCACATGACAGGGAGCCCACAGACAGACATTGATACTGAGGGATGGACACATTTACGTGACCCCTTCACACTTGAGGGAAACCCTTTGATTTTCATCAACTTCTTCCTTAAATGACAATACTTGTTGCTTTTAATCCTCAAAGAAAACACATTAGACACTAATATTTCCCTGCAATTCTGTATGAACTGATTCTTTTCAAATCATTTTACATCTTTGTGTCCCAAACCGTGAAGATTTATACTAGAATAAAATTAACCATTCTGATTAAAAGTTAATATGCAAGATGAACTTTCATTCCCCTTTGAAAAACTCCAGACTGCATTTCTGTTTAGATTAATAAAAATGTTTAACTGTGCCTATGCAGAGTTGCTCACCTCCAAGCAGGATCAGAGATCAATAACAGTAGGTACAATATGAAATAAAGAGCAGGAAGATGATTTAGGACGAGTAAGGATTGGCTTTCAGCATAGGATCCGAAAAACCCAACAGATGCATGCAGGTCAGCAGGAGCAAATTTTTTGTCATCACCACCACAGAGTCTCATTGTTTCAAAAAACACATTCAGCAGCAGACAAATCCTCAGCATTAATAAATTAAATTAAATCTTTTGCATCTTTATAAGTATTCTTCACCTTTGTGGCTTTTAATAGAAAAGGAAAAAGGCAACTGCTCAAAGGGATCCCCAGACAGCCAAAATCAACGAAGGAAGCTAAACACGAGGCCGCACTGAGAGGCGCCCTTCCCAGGAGGACACCAGGACAGCGGGACCAGCGCTGCGCCCTGCCGCAACGGGGAGTCCCCGTCACAACACAGCGAGAGCAGCCTCGGAAATCAATGCCTTCAGATAACCTCCAAGAGGCTGATAAGGTTAATTTCCTTTGTATTTACAATACATTTTGATAATACTATCTTCTCCGTTATTATTGCAACTATTTATCATGTATTTCTCTCTCACACTTATCAATAATGAAAAGAAAAGGCTTAGACTAAACACTACCTTTTCATAGCTTAATCAAAGAACAACGTTTGTTCAGGGAGCCTAAACCAAACCTCCCACGCTGTGCAGGTCATTTGCTAAATTGAGGTTATTTCTCCCATTCAAGAAGTAAAAGTATGCACATAAACAGACAGTTTCTTACACTAGCCTAACAATTACCCCATTACTGAGGCTTACTTAATCTCATTGAGAAATACTCACATTTTAAAAGAAAAACAAATGACAAATAAATCCAGATGGATTGACAAAAGCGATGATGTATAAGTTACTTTTGGAATTGATCCCATTTCACAAAAGTTCTCTCTTCATGTACAGAAAAGGGAATAATTTTTGCTTTGAATGTTCTCACATTACAGTATTATTACAGTATTATCACAGAATGCTTAAGGTTGGA